AAAAGCACTTTTTTATATTGTTATTTGTTCTTCTGTTGTCTGGCACTATCACCATTCTGTCATTCCTAGACAGGCTGTGGTTGTTTATATGCATAATTTTCATAAAATATGTAGGCCTATTAATTCTGAAACCTGGGCAACATCAAACGAAATTTGTGGTACATCGAATCTGTTCTTTTTCGATTTTTTAATCCATCTTCTTCATTGGGAAATAAAACTGATTTACGGCAATGTAAAATTATGTCCATTTGTTCAGGTCTTATATTTATGAAGCCTTTGGTGAAGTACAAAGCCTCAAGAAGAAATTTTTTAGATATAGATGGATAAAAGTTTTATATGTTGTATTTTATAAATACATATTTATCTTTATTTCTAATTTTGTGAAACCAAGAAAGGTCCTTTCATTGGTTGGCTTGTGTAGCAATCCTTAAGGAGACGCACTTTTTTTCCAGTATTTCTTGGCTTATTTTACCAAATACAGTTTTGCTTGGGTCTATTAGTCTAAAAGGAGGACTGAGGTATTCGTCTTTATGGTCCTTTATCTCCAGAAATGCTTGCTTATAGCATAATATATGGGCCCTGTCACTTATATCTAGTTTGGCTGTGATATTTTTCGCCTCCTCTTTGATACTTTCAATGTACGAGTTTGGTGCTTCTTTAAGTTTTAGTGACTTCTTCATTAATTATTTCCGGTAAGACCCCGGATACACAGTGTAAATGTTTTGTCTCCTTTAACTAGGATGGTTTTAGTTCTTTTTTTCTTCAGTAGTTAATAGTTTTTGGAAATTACTATTAACTTTTGTGAATTTAATATTGTCTATTATAGCAAACATATCCTTATCGAAGTTAGCCAGGCGGGTAATTTTTTGTTTTAAATTTTTCCGTGTTTTCTTTGTTCTTTAAATATTTATTTAATCAAAATAGTGCCTTCGATCACATTCTGGCAAGGAATTGTTGACATTTTTGTAATAAATTTAGCATGTATTTTTTTTTCTTATTTGGAATAGAGATGTTTTTAGCGACTACGGTATTCTAAATACTTGCATTGTAGCTTCCCCGTAAATTTTGCCGACAAACGTCATGCGTTGGAAAAAACAATCGTCGCGCGTTCGAATAAAATTCAATAGTGGATTCTTTACTTTTTATGTGCCATGTCCTTTCAGGATGTAGGCGATCATGGCTCTGCACCTATTCCTCTATCCCTTGCAGCCCTCGACAGTTCCTTCCTTCTGCTTCCTCCTCCATACCACATTCTGTCATCCACTTGCTTAAGTCCGCCAGGTATGTCACGCGTTGTTTTCCCTTGTCTCACTTTCCCTCTATTCGACCCGTGAGTGTCAGATTCTCCAGGCCCCCTTTCCTCATTATGTGTCCTAGAAACTTCAGCTGCCTCTTCCTGATATTAAGTATAAAACTTCTCCTTTTTGCAACCTTTCTAAGATCTCATTTTTGCTCACACGCTCGATCCATGATATCCTTAGCATCCTTCTGTAGAACCACATCTCTGTCGCCTCGAGTCTCTTCATCTTTGAGGAAGTCGTCCAATTTTCGCTGACGTAAAGAAGGACAGATGTCACGTAACAGTTCAGTATTCTTTTCTTTGTTACCAAAGATATCCTCCTGTCTCGGAGTACTCTGACTAGTTTTTGGAATGTGTCCTTGGCCATCCCAATACGCCTACGGATCTCAGTGTCGCACTTACCGTCCTCTGTCAAGACGCTTCCCAGGTATTTAAACTAACGTGTCTGCTTGATTCTAGTGTTCCCGACCTTCAGATCGCATTTCGGGCTCATCCTCTTTCTGACGACCATACACTCCGTCTTCTTGTAGTTTATGCTTAGTCCCTTCTTCTCATTCTCCGTCACTACCTGTTAGTGTGTACCGGTTAAGATGGTTTATGTAAACGTAAAAAAATACACTGAAAATGGGTGTTCAAGTGTAATACAGGAAAAGTTATAAAAATAATAAAAAAATTAATAATCAGAGCTGAATTAAACCAGGAAACAGTACTATTAAAAAGTGCTTATTACACGTATAAAAGAAATAAAAAATTAACATGTAGAACTTTTAAGTATAAAAAAATTAGATCAGATGAGACAGATTCCATTTATAAAAACCAGGAAGAAGATCATCCTAGGAATGAAACGCGTTCTTGGGATATTTTGTCCATTTTCTCCTTCGATTACCTACTCTTAGATATAGATTTCATATTTTTAAAATTGCGTGTTTCTGTCTGTGTCTGTAAATGTACATTAATATAATGCGTACTGTAGGTCATTCCGTTATTATTACGTTTGATTAAAAGCCACATAAAAGAAAACTTTTCTTAATTGTATTCTACATTTTTTATTCCTAAACAAATGAATTTATCAGTGGTTAATGTCTGTTAAGTCGTGTCTAAAACATTTGATCAAGTGTTTTCATCTATTTATTTCGACTTTATCGTGATCTAATACATTAATTGTTGAAGACTACAACCATGGCTATCATTATTAGATGTTGTTTTAATCTCGTTTTTGCGTTATACCACAATAATTCACAAAAGGCATAATACTGACATTTAAAAACTGACATTAAGAAAATAATTAACATC